GGTCCGTGTTCCAGGGTGTTCGCGAGGTTTTTTTTCGATTTTTTTTCCACTGGGGGTTACAAATGGGCCACTGCTTCGTTACTGAGCACCAATTACCCGAACACTTGATCGCGGGAATTGTCTTTAAGGGAGGGGAAGGGGGGTTGTGGTGGCATTTCTACTAAAACTTGTACACACCGAGCTTTCGCATACACAGCACATTTAACCTCAAATCACATTTGACAAACAGCAATCAGATTATGCCTAGCACTTTCGATGAAGTGATATCCTCAAACTCTTGTCACTGTCGTCACTTTTCCTTTTTTATTTTCTACCTCAACATGCAATAGGAATTAATCCACAGCACGCTATTTTATTGTTAGCCAGTAGCTGCTTGACCGAGTGAGTGAGTCCACCTCTCTTCTCCCAATGTTGGAGACGCTTCCAGTCGAAGAAGTAGGCGATCTCTCGACTAACGTCATCAAACTCGTTGAAAGTTTCTTAGCAACGGAACAGGGTTCAATCGAAAGAGCTGTCTCAGAAGGGTGCGATGCGGTCTCCCAGTTTGGCTCTTCATTTTTTTTGTCGATCTTTCCAGCTACATGAGCTTGACCTTACCATGGAGGTGCGTAGAAGTCCGTCACGGCCGCTTTTCCCAACAGCTTCTGCGGCTTTCTAAGTTTCGGGAGAAACAGAGTAACATAAATGGTAACTGTAACCTTGTGTCTTTATTGCGGGAATGCTTTGAGGGTGTTCTACAAGTGTAACATGTTACGTCATATTCAAGCATCAAGAATCAAAAGCGGCCAGCTAGCCATAAAAGCAATGAAAAGAAGAACCCATATCAGGGAGATTCAATACAGAAAATGAGAAAACTGTGCGAATTGCCCGGAATGCTCTTTACTTCTTTCACGTGAATTGAAAGGTACGGTCTGCGATCAGGCGTAAAATTTGGAAGGGTGTCAGGAAGGTGGTGTGGCTCGTGAAGAACCACCCCGTATCAGTTTCGCGGCAAAAAAATTGTGAGGGAGAGGCGCTATTGTCCAATATAGATATCCATCTTTCAATGAAGAACGAAGCTGCAGGACAAAAAAGCACTAGTAGTTACTTGTACGGTAGTAGTTTCCTATCGTGGAATAAGCTGTGTAAGCCTGTACGACTTCGTATTACAGGATTGGGTGCCTCCACCTGGTATCGAAGGGGCGTTGGAAAACTCTCGCCTACTTGGAATGGAAGGGCGTTGAGTACCTGAAGAAGACGGAATATCTAAGTGTGTCACCTGACCTAAACCCCTCAATTACCCGGTTCGGGCGGAGCTCAACAGGGTGGTCTACAGTGGCGGAGAAATCAACGATCTCGCTGAACTCAGGCACCGAATCACGGTCGCGTGGCAGAATCTCTCGATGGCGCTCGTCCAGAAGGCTGTGGCGGAGCATCATGATAGTATACAATATGCTGTTGAATATGGTGGTGGAAATGTCCAATCAGAATTAATTAAATGTAACTTATAGCGCCCTGAAAGTCAAGGAAGAAAAGTGTCTTTTTTGCCCCTCCCCTGTATGTCTATATTACTAGATTCTGAGAGGAAATGTTCCCGCGATGCTCATTTGTAATGCAAAATTCACTCGCTCTACCAAACCATTCCTACTGATGCTTCCGGAGCGCTACCATAAGCACTGTCTAAACAACACGTATTTCACTCTTCAGGCAAGAGCTCCGAGGAAGTCGCCGAAATGACACTAAGGACCCTACCTAATCCATCGTTAATGTCAACAACAAAAACCGAAACTAAATTACATTCGAAAAGAAGTCATTGAAAATAAATATTTATTTGCTAACACAATGACTATCGGACTGCTTCGTCGTCTGAACACTATGTGGCGAGAGAACACAATGTGAGAAACACAGGAGATTGCACATTGATATACCAAAATCTCGCATCAAAATGTGCAAATCAATGCAAAACAAAATAAGTGGTAGAAAATAGAAGATTTTGTTGACTAGAGAGTTACCATGTTACAAGAGACCCGTGACATATTTTTGGAGAGATCTTAGCTGAACTAAATTCTGTACAAGAATTAGACATAGAAGTGATTATCACGGGTTGAGCCTACACAGATCAAGGCAGATGAATAGCTGTGCCGCGGATTCGAGAAAACAGCATATTGCGTTTGTCAGTCAATGGTTGCTTGCGATGGAGAAGTGCATGGCGAAGCCGTTCGCCATCAATGTTTTTCACGGTTGGCCTTGGATTCGATCATGACTTCTCTGAAATAATCATTTTTGGCCTTGAAGAGGCACATGCGCCGGAGGACCTGTTGAGCTTGAACCAGTGTCGAAATATCAAATGGGGACTGTACCTAGCATTTCTTAGCTGGTCACCATCCATATGCTCCAGCAAAAATGCGAACGTCTCATGTTGATTGTACCGAAATGCGTCTGACACAATTCTGAAACAGTCAGTGATTGGGTGAGAAAATCTCTCAGACAATTAGGTCAATTAATATCGTTTAATCTAGTGCAATTTTAGACGACATTCAACCTGAGTGCGAAAATTAGCAAAACGAAAGTAAATGAAAAAGTGATGGGAATATTGAGGCGGTTGGCATCCGTTTTACATGTCTCTTAGGGCGGCGCATTCCGTACTTCGAAGGCTTTGTTCTTTGCGGTCAAATTCGCCGCACCTCGGCTAGGGGTTAGTGTCTGCGAATTTCCCCGCACTCTCGGCTCAAGGCGTTCTGCATGATGTCAAGTCAACGTAAAGAGTAATCAATGAATACTCATGAAATAGGACTTCTGGACTATGCAGGCAGGAGCCGTTTGATCGAAATGCTCCTCTTTTTCGGAACAATATGAAAGGGCAAACTAAATAACATCGAAATAAAAGCGTTGTGCTATACCGGAAATTTTCCATTCTTAGTAATCGTTTTCTCAGCTCTGGGCAGCAGTTTTCTAGAAGGAACTGGAGTCGTTTTCGAAATTTGTTCTCCACCAAAATGTCGCTTTGTTCGTTGCTGCAATTGATCACCATTTCGCCAGTCAATTTGTAATTACGTTATCATGTATCAGGTCAAGAGGATGAGAAAAAATGAGACTGTATAGCCCAGGATAGAATAGAATAGTACAAAGAAAACGGAATGGAGCCAGAAATGCAAGGTACTATGGATACAACTAGGTGCAGTAAACACTTACATTGATGGAGTTGTAAAAAGTGTCGAAGAAGGCGGTCCACGATATCCGAGCTACACCAACTGGGTTCATCAGGCACAGACGAGTACAAAGAAACTGCATGGTATCACGATCGCGAGCCCGGAAACACATCGACCGCCATTGTAGAAGGCCTAAAAGCACTTTTTTCCATTTACGAAGGTCGGTTTTGCTTTATCAGTGCGTAGACTACAGTTGACTGTTTTTGCGGGCTACTCTTGCTCGTTTTCCACCGTTTCTTCCCATCAACTCAACAATAGGTACAGTTTAGGGGATGGTGGTGGCGGAGAGAGTTTTCGAACGGCAGGAGGTGCATAGTGTTCTGAGCGAAACAAAAACTCTGGCAAAGATAATTCTGTAACTGAAAATGTTAAGTCCAGAGCTTGTAGACAGTCGTTGGACACTAGGACGTGGTCAGGAGAAGTGCCGTAACACTGCGCGTTAGGAGAGCGTAGCGTGCTTCATATTTCTATGATTTCCGCATAGTATCACATCAAAGGTACGATCCGCGATCAGTATACAAGTTGAAAATATGGCGTCGGGAGGGTAGTGTGGTCCGCGACGAACAACCGGTTTCGCGGCAAAAAATTGTAAGGGAGGGCGCTATAGCGCAATATAGGTTCAGTGACGCCTCCTTTTTTTCCAGTGACTCCGCCTCCAGACTCCGCCTTCAAGGCCCGTCTTTCAGTGGTTTGCCTTCAAATGGTACTCACCAATATATTCCTTTGTATTGTCACCAATTTTCTCCCAAATATACTCCACCAGTTGACAGTAGCCATGACGGATAGCGAATTGAAAGCACAGCGTCAGTTTTTGATTTGGCACGCGGGTTTCTGAAATCATCAAGTCAACATGACTGGAGTTGAAGATTGGCGATTTTTCTATAAACTCACCAGTATCAAAGAAGATTTCCCAGTTACTTTCAAGTAGTGTTAGCCAAAAATCATAGACTGGATGGTCGGAGAGCTGCTTTCTGAAGTAATAAAGGGAGTTTGTTATCTTTTCTGCTACTGCTAGTTTCTGCTAGTAGTGCTTTCTGTCTTTATTTTCTCTTGTTTTGACACCCCAAAGTGAGTCAGTAGTAATAGATTTGGGGATCCTGTGTAATGCGTAACCTACAAAAGTCACAAAAAAAATGGATCCACGATAATTTGGTACTCGGCCTAAAATGCTAGAGGGCGCTATATATTGGGGGAATGGCGAAAGAACGGGAAATGGTCAAAATCCTGGCGAGATAAAAGCCTTCGTTCTCATGACTCAAAAACGCAATTTACGGACGCAGTTTCCGTAGACATTTGCCAATACCCGCTACCGAAGATACGGCTGCACATGTGTACTCATATATTCATGCAGCATATATTTCACTTCATACCAATCCTCTCACTTCATAATTTGCTTACCAAATGAATTAATATCATCTTTAGGAACGTCGTCCAATTGTGGGCGGGCGGGCGTGGTGGACGTTTGGGTCGGTATGTTTGTAGCTTGACAGGGCCCTTATAAGGTACCTTCTTTGAAAAGGGCGCTACGCAGCATCTGCTAAGGGGCGAGCAATTCAGCCTGCCACATAATTAATCCTATCGGCCTCTGGGATTTATCGTGCAACTGCCTTTGAGTCCTGTCGTTCGTACGTGCATAGTCCAGGCCAATCAAACCAAAAAGTCTGTGATTATGCCCCAAGTCATAAAACCGGAGCTTTGCGGGCAGCATTCATTTATGTCCTATTTTCAAGGAACTCACTTGAAGGTAATCCGGCGATACTTATCAAATCGTATATCATCTTCGATCAGATCTGTTATTGCATACATACATGCCAACTGAAACTGCATTTGAGGCCAATTCGAACATTCTGTTGCGATAAGATGTTGCGCTGATGCTAGATCATCCACTTGAATTCTGAAGATTAAAAACGATAAGTGACAAGGAGATCCGCAATGTAAAAGCTCTCTCTAGCGCTGAACTTATTATAATGACAGCCCGGCTCAGTAAAGTGGGCAGTAAAACAGTGAGCAATAAGAAGGCAAGACTGGTACGTCCTCGGCAACTGGCAGCAAGCGGCAACATTTCACGGCCGCCGCGCTCGAAGCCTATTCCGCCCTTTTTGAGAGACTCTTTGTGGGATGCACAGCCTTATCGGGAGAGTCTTCAAGAGTGAGTGTTGAATTCAGCCAATTTAGAGCAAGGATGGCAAAGTCGCCTAGCCACTTGCTCTTTCTTATACAGTCGTATGGCTCTACTGTCTCTGCCTCAAAAGGGCAACATTTCGCAGAAACCCAGGCACTCTCGGCAGAATACTCTCAAGAATGAGCCCGTGACACGCTCATCGCCCGCCCAAATTTTCGTTGTGACGACACATATCGTGAAAGCAGCTTTCTTGGGTATAGTGAACGAGATCCAGTCATCGCGGGCAAAATAGAGAATTTCCTAGCTGGTTGACTTTACACACTGAAGCATTTTCACATCAAATCGATTTAGTAATGGTGCGAATGCCGCGAGCGTGACGCAGTTGGGCAATGTTCTTTAGCTGCCCTCGCCGCAACGTGAACATCCTGTACACCTCGCTAGGCTCGACACTTATTCAATCCTGCATGCGTGGCAGTGACTGCTGGAGGGGGGGGGGTGTTTTCGGTCTAGACGCAGAACTATCCAGCCACTCCTGCTCTGTACATATGCTGTCTACTTCTGTGCACTGAACCGCGAGATTTTACCTAGGCTGTGCAAGGCTTCCACCGCGCCCAGAGTTTACTCCATAGACACGCCCTCTCCAAGCGTGTTTACCAGTACTATACAATCGCATTCAGTCTCACTTCGCTGTAGCGAGACTACCCATTGAGAGAGGTGTAGCGGGAATGTCAACTTGTTAGAAGGACAAAGTACTTACGCAGAATTTTTCCAGACGAGATGTTCATAGAAAGTACGAAGGTGCTCGCTTTTTCTCATAACACGTCGTCTGCTCTTTGGCTCGTCGATAAACATCTCGGCATGTTTCTCGTCTGCAAGTTGTCGTCTGAGTTCACAATCTCACAGTAACAATCAGAGCGAGGTAATGGAACTCTGTTGTTGTCAGTTCGATATTGTGCTATTCCTGTCAAAAGGGCACCGCTATGCACACCAAGCCCTACCTCATTCAAGCGTTATATTACATTTTCTCTGTGCAGTGCAGACGCTCCATACCTCGGTTATAAGATGGGCGTGGCTGCCGTCCTTCAAATAATCTCGCATGGAGTGATTTGCCGGTATTTTGATCCGAGAATTCTCAAATTGCCTCGTACTAGGCAAAGACATGATCACACTAGTTACAACACGAAAGGATCCCACCAAAAACGTTGCCGCTGCCACTCCCAAATCTATCACGCGCAACGCCCATGCACCAGGGAATTTGCCTGCATGGCATTCCTAAACGCTTGAAACAAGGCAAAAGGACGTTACTTGTACAAGACTATTATCACAAATCCTCCCTGTTACTATTTAGCCATACAAACATGACGCGCAAGGAAAGGCAACACGGCTGAGTGCTGACGAATTGGAGCCATTCAAGACAAACATCTCGTCTTGACGTAGCCCTACCGCCTACATTCACTATTGGTGCATGGCTTCTCTACAACGAATCAGGCAAGCCCACAAAGTGCCAGACAACTCGACTCATCGCAATGTTTGTACGGATACTCACACTCGTGACGCGAACAGACGCTCTGCACCTGGTTTTCGGCGAGTGGCAAGGTTTGTCTGGGCAACGATAACAAATAGTTCTCACACGGGAATGTCCTGACAGTAAGTTCTATCCCCTGGTAATGCTTCCTTGGACCCCTCCTCATTCCAGTTAATTCACTTTGTACAACTGGACTCCGCTTATCGCTATTGGTGAAGATGAACAGACAATTCTTTCAAATTCATTCTTACTCAATCCTTAGGTTTTCTCACTATCACCACTCATCAATCTCTCTTTACATTTCTCGGTGGAAAACAAAGCAGAGCACGGAACCAAAAAACAGCAGTCAGGATTAGGGATCTGATGTATCGGCTGAAGATGTCACATAGACGGAGGTCTGATGACTGGTGAATAAGGAGAAAGAAAATTGAAATTTCAGGAGTTCAGGTTAGGAACGATTGAAAACATGGAAATTTTCTGCTTGTTCTTGTCTTCTGTGAAACTCAGAATTTGAAAAGTAAGATAACCAAAGGAACTGATCCTTACCCCATCGTTTCATCTCTCGCAATACCTCGGCCAGAGAGTTTCTAATGCCCTGAAAACTTATTTTTGTAAGAATCTATCAAAACCAGCTCTCTCTGTAGATAGAATTAGATAATAAACACAGAAAAACTAGGGACACAGTTTGGCTTGGTGGGGGCACCAAGTGGTACTGAGCGAAGCATGTTATGACTTGTGACCGAATTGGCTCAACTGCACTATTTCGCAGCTTTACAGGTCCTTACAAGTCACACTTTGTTGGCGAGCATGAGCTAACAAAATGAAATTGCTAACTAGCGCGATTCCCCTCCTATGCCAGACGGTGTCGAAAAAGATGTCATGTAAAGCAGTTTAAGGCCACAAAGTCGCTCTCGTGGGCGGAGTCAGTAAAACATTGCACCTCCTTGATTGGTCCCTCCCTTTCGCCATCTCAGAAAGTAAGTTCCACCTACAAGAGGGACAATGTGGTCATGGTGATCCCGCCTATGACCAATTCAAAATGTGCCTTTAGGTCTATTATACTGCCGCCTGATTTACCTTCTTGGCCTTAGGTGGAAGTCGCAAATGATCGAGAAAGTCGCGAAGTGAGTAGGCCACATCACTGATACGCCGCCAACGGATATTCACCTGAATCAGATAACAAAATACATGCGTTGAAAATAGCTGGAAGGGGTTCAGGGTGATAAGGGTGCTTCAGAACTCATTATGTACTTTTGAGAGATCTAAACATCCAGACAACTTTTAGCGTCTGGGCAAAAAACAGAGTCCCTTGTTCCTTTGAGGTAAAAAAGATGAGTGACTATTTTCACAGCCTTATTTCCGGAATATATTCCCCGCTATGAAGATTACCCGTGAAAAGGCACGCGTGGCTAGCGTATTGTAGTTGGGATCAAAGTTTGGCTAAGATCTATGAGATTTCCCTCAGAAGCCGTCCAAGAAGGGTAGCCGTAGCCCCTTCTGGGTTAGAGCCATGGACCGACAGTGTCGTTAAATGAACTACATAATCAGTGGGTAGAAGCCATAGAAGAGGTCGAAGAGTCACCTTGAATAACTGTAGAGCGATTGCACGAGTGCAGAGGTTTGTGAGCGTATTTGGCTCGTAGTTACCCGACAGCATAGTCTACGGGTAATCCAGTGAAGGATAGCTGAAATTGCGAACAACTGAAGGAGAACGTCGGTGCGAACATAAAATCGCGCACGAAAAGCGGTCATAAATGCATTGAATCATTTAGAGGCCTGAAAAAGCAACAGAAACGGCTGAGGCGAAAATACAGCCAGTGCAGACCCACCTTGAAATGCCTGATCAACTCTTCACAGATACCAAATAAAAATCAAGGCACTACCCAGCTACCTTCATTGGGGATTTAGGACCAGGTAATTAGTCCCATGCAACTGCGGACGGGGTCCACCCTATTTCTTAAACTTTCTTCGTTGTCGTGGTCATAATAGTGGCGATCAACACATCACATTCTAGTAGAGAGAAACGATGAAAACCGCTATGAAATGGAATAGTAACTAGACTGTCTGCAGGCAAGACCCGCCCAAGATGAAGCATTCGTCGCCCCACCCTCGAAAATACTCGAACTCCCCCAACCCAGCCGCTTACGCTTGGGAACTTGATGTGCTCTACCCATCAGCGATTAAATGTGAACATATGAAAAATGGGGGATTCCCTAAGAACAATATTCCAAGAGTTTCCTTCCGGTACATGCTCTCACTCTTGTTTTCGGCTGCAAAGTTCAGGTCGGAGTTGCCAGGTACAAATCGTAAATCTTCCGGATACCACAACTCAAGTAGTGGACTCTGCCCTCACCACATTACCCAGTGGAGTGGTACTCATCCTTCCCATCAGTCCAGTGATGAACTACTCATACTTTCCCATCAGTCCAGTGATGAACAACTGGCGTACCGTCCGGAGTCTTACGCAACCGGGTGCAATCCTGCATTAGTGCATTACAAAGCTGCTCCGTACAGCCGCAACTAAAATGGCGGAATGGTGGATTCTGTACCATTACCTTGAATTTGTGCCAGTTACCTCATTACTCCAATCGATCGTGTACGGTTTGAATGGGAAATGAACAGCAGGATTTTATCACAAGAATGCTGAGTTGTGGGCAAAAGTCGTGCCCCAGGCGGGAGTCGAACCCGCACCTCACGCTTTCCGGGCGAGTGCGCTATCCGTTACGCTAGCTATGAAGTGGAATAGCAGTTAGCTAACGGATAGCGCACTCGCCCGGAAAGCGTGAGGTGCGGGTTCGACTCCCGCCTGGGGCACGACTTTTGCCCACAACTCAGCATTCTTGTGATAACATTCGGAACGCGTACTGCGGCGTTAAACAGCAGTTATCATAACAAAATCAGCAGGATTCCTGCCTGTGCAATCAATATTGGGCCTGGAGGTGGTGGCATGGCAAGTGGTGCAGGTGGCTTACATCAGCTCAGGGATCAAATCGGTGAACTCTCGCCCAGGAACCAAGTCTACTTTCCTCCGGGGACGGATTGGTGCCAGATTTGTCTGGGAGGATAAGAAAACAGACTTGTACATCGGCTGGCCCCCATAAATATTGTATAGGCCACATCGCAGAGCCCACGAGAGAGCCATGACGATTCTGAATGGGAGTAGAGTGGCCGCCTATTCCGCAAAGTATTTGTCAACGCAAAACTTGATGCTCACTGTTTTCTCGTACAAGTCAAGAAGCGATCGTTTCGGAAGTCAGGCTTGACCACCTTGTGTGGTTTCAGGCCTTCGCTCACTTTACCCACTGCTCTCTTTTGATTGGCATATGTTCACTGCTGTTTTTTTCTGATGTTGTCCTCTACAAGTACATCAATCCAAGTACATAAGTGTGCCTCAAACTCTCAAATGGTCCCATAAAGCTCCGATATGAAAGCACTCGCCGAAGCCTTTCCACAGCAAAAAAAAAGCGGTTCGTTTACAAAAAATGTTCTGAAAGAAAATATCGCCGTGAACGTGACATATAGATAACGTAGTCATTGCAAATTTTGAACGTTGATCCTTCAACATGCTAGCACGGTGGCCCAGTAACCGGTGGGTACAGTTTCATGTACTGGTTAAAGCCAAGGGTTCAAGCTATATCTCAGCAGAATTGAATTGAATTTAGTCGTGAAGTGCTGGATTAGCTTGACCCATGAATTGCAGACAAGGAGTGCTGCAAAAAGTTGACCAAAAGTCATGGAGGATTTGTCTCATGACTAAAAATTTCATGCGTTGCTGCAAGGGACCTGCACTGTTCGAAGTCCTGGTGACTCCTTAGCCAAAGAATTCACCCTGAACTTAAATCAGTTTCCTGTCGTGCTATAAGAAATTTATGAAAGGGTAAACGGATTCGGAGTTGGAATACAGGATATTAAGAGAAGCTGAAAAAATGGAGGGATAGTCGTCTGTGGGAACGATCAGTTGTGGTCGATCCGAGCTGACTGAAAGATTTCGTGAAGCACTTGACAGCGCCGAAAATAACGAGGAAGCTAGTGAGACGAGAGTGGTCGGGGTAAATATTATACGGGGTGCAGATCGCTCATTGTACCGAACAGGCTTCTCTCATCTCCCGTTAGCTGGAAAATAAAGCGAACGTGTTTGAGAAGAGCAGTAAAAAGGGTCAGTTGTCCGAAGAATAACATGAACTAGGAGAGACCTTGCGACGAGCTTCCCGACCAACCCTATGAGTGCTCACCGAGCGCGGTGAACATTTGAAGTGTCGCCAAGGCTTTTGGTCACTACGAACAAAGAACCCAAAAGGACCTATCAACTGCCCTACTCTTCCTCTGATTCTTACCAGCTTCTATCTCTCTTACATAGTGCTATGAGTCCTTCATATAATTTGTACTTGGGCCTCTTCTCATGCTGAATATCCGGCGTACAAAAATACCCATGTTATTATTTTCTACTCCTTGGTGAATATCTTTTAGTAACCTTCTTGACTTTGTTTCCCCTTTGAACAGATCTTGAAATATCCGCTTCTTTCTGTTGAGGAACCTTGGGCAGAGTTCTCTGAGACACTTGGAGACATTTGGGAGCTCGCTTCAGATGCTAAGGGGCGTGAGTGGGGCTGCGGTGCGGCGCCTGCCCGTTCGCCATCAACTGGTGACAGGGTTTAGTCGTGATGTGTGAAGTGGTAGTGTAGTTACGCCCCCCCCCCCTTCCGAAACAGGGTGTCAAAGCGACCTCCCCCCGCACCACACCTAAATGAGGTTCTCGGTACGACCCCTCCTTCCGCAATACATGCCTACCAATTTCCCACATTTCCCAGTCCACTTTTTCACCCAAACGTTTTCCGTCGAGCGTCGCGGGGAGTCTGGAGGGTGTTGACTATCACATATGAAATAGGCAAAATCACGCGAAAAGTTAACAACCGCGAAAATTTTTTCCCAACGCAGCAAATTTTTTTCAACGACCCCCTCCCTCTCTCCCAACTTCCAAATACGATCCTCACCTCTTCCCAGCGGAAAAGTACGACCCTCCATATGTGTTTCACACAGCGATGCTGTACCCTGACTGTGGAAGCAGCCCAGCGACAAGAATATAGTTGGAAAACGGGGTCAAACCGCACAAAACCGAACCTTCTGTCAACCTCACTTTCCCCAGCGAACAAGACTGTGGCAGTTCTGTGATTCATAATATTTGCTCATGGCGCTAACAAGACAATAGAAAGCATTCACACGCATTCACATACGTTCACACAGGCAGTGAGAAAAAAGAAAAGAATCATGAAAGAAAGAAAAAAGAGAACGGGAGAAAAATGTAAGACACAAGTGCCGAGGGCCCATGGCCGCGAACGAAGATTTCGATGCCCAGATGAGTCAATGAAGCGTTTTCTTTCGATTTCGTCAGCGAGTCGATTCCCAATTTGTATGAGATAACACGGCCTTAAACATTGCCTATGAAGGCAGCAACTTTCTATGGTCCGTTGGGTCGGTTATTCCATGGAAACAATAGGTATGGATCGTCTAGGAGAAATGAGAAGCACGATCGTCTAGGAGAAATGAGAAGCACGAAACGGCATGGCAGAGAGAAAATGAAAAGAGCATAAGCGATAGAATAATAGTGATGAGCGACGGCGCCGATGTGCTTAATGCGATGTTCTGCAGAAAACAGAAAACACATGAAGGCGGCACGTGAGAAAATCGAAGTTCGAAAGCTCGTAAAGTCATATGATCGAATCGAATCTGCCAATCACTTGGACTAAAGCACCCCCACAGAGTTTTT